TCTGTCATACATAATGAATACATAACSAAATCTGAATTAAGCGACTTCTGAGATTATCCTGTTCGCAGGGTGTGATCAAATTGTGACCATAATCTTTCTTTTAGAAAAAAAACTCAAAAGCAAAAAACAATATAAACTTTAAAAAAGTCATTTTAATGGTACATGTCTAACTGACTGGTCAATTTCCAGCTCTAGGCATATTATATATAGTGAACATGTTTCACAAGTAAGATTCCAGCGTTCCTCTGCGACGTATATCTGTAGTCCAACAATGAAAGCCACCACCAATCGAGTTAGCATGACGAATACTGACGGGGATTGCAGTGATGCCGAGCTTCTCAAACATCTGAGAAGACAATCAAGAATAACAATGATGAAAAGACTACTTGGTCGTAGCTAGTACGTTAGTTTGGTGTGTAATACACGACTTTCAAAAATGGAAGCCAAACTCGGTTGGGACTAGGRACAATAGAATGGAAACGAGGTAAKTAAGGCCTCATTAGTAAACAGAGTCTACCCAKTACGATATTTTGTGTCGAAGTCATTCATCCTTACTTCAATAGACTCTTAAAAGAACTCAAATTGGTTGAAATGAATGACTTTGACACAAAAGATCGTACTGGGTAGACTCTGTTTACTAATGAGGCCTTAATTACCTCGCTTCTAGTTCCATTCAATTGTTCCTAGTCCCAACCGAGTTTGGCGGCCATTTTTGAAAGTCGTGTATAACATACATGAAAAAAATACTCRATTCTGATTGRGTTAGAGCAGTGTTGTTCAAAAAATACAGTGCAAAAAAAATTGTAATTCACTGGTAGAAAAGTGTAACACAGTGCAAATGACAAACGGAATTCTCGCTTTTGATTGGATACATATAAACAATAGAAAATGACTTTAGCCAATAAGATGACAGAAAATTTGAAGTAAATCGAGGGGGAAAATGGCAGCCATTTTATCTTAGGGAAAAGTAAGCCAAGATTTTACGGATCAAACAACTGAAGAAGAAAACAAAAAACACAAGTAACRCATTTTGAGGCCAGTTTGGAGCGTTCTTACGGAGTTACCGTTTTTTTCGTTCTCCTACTAAAGAAAGAATGTGGCTTTATCTTCTTACTCTCAAAAAGTACTAATTTTACATGCTACGAGTTATTACCGTTAACATTTTGAGGGTTCGATCGGGCTTCAGTGTGCAACCTTTGAGCTACGGTTTTTTGCAATTTCAACTCTGAAAAACACACTAGCTCGTGTGAATTAATCCCAAATTGAACTCGAAACCGTATGATTACCTTTACTAACACCATGTAGCACGCTCTCATTGGTTTTAAACACCATGCATTACCATGAAGCACGTTCTGTTATTGGTTTGAATTAAACATCATGCATTACAATGCCATACACTCTCATTGGTTTAAAAAACCATGCATTACCATACAACACGCTCTGTTATTGGTTTAAAACACCATGCATTACCATGAAACACACTCATCCGTCCTCAAAATCCATCAATGGCCATGCAAAAACACCACGAACTAGCTACTGACAAACAAATACCTTTATAGTAGTTGTTTCTTTCTTTTCACAGACAACTCTCTTCGGGTCAAGCATCAGAACATTCATGGACAACCATTTGGATGCCATCCACATAGGGTGGTCGTCAGGAACGAGGGGGGTGGGTGCGTTAACAACTTTCCAACCGGCTTTATGGAACATGTCTATCTGATGGCAAGGCCTATCAGGGTTAGACAACACAAGTCCTGGACCAATGATATTGAAGGTAGCGTCTATATGCATGGGGTTTGGATCCTTAAATGAGATGATGTGTACATTGAACTGGTCGCCAAGGTGACGAGAAACCCACTCGATACCCATGTAGTTTGTAACCTATGATATAGACAGACAGTCGGTTATTATACAGGATTGCATGAAGGGGGCTCTTACCGATTCACCAGCCACGGTTGCTATGGAAAGGATATTCCTTTCTGATAAGAGGATTTCCTTAAGTTTTAAGCTCATACATAAAACGTACCAATTTGTGGAATGGATCGTTTTCTGGTACGTGTGACGACGTCATCACGCCTACGTAGTTTATGACGACATATTTCATRAAAGAAACACAATCGTGCATTTGGTCGGTTTTACACAAAATTAATCCAAAGCATCCTACCAAGTCATGTGTTGAAAAATTTAACTTTAAATATTTTTCTAGCCGCTTAACGTAAAGTAAAATCCATGCTTAAATTTGTTCCAATTCATCTCGGCTGTGATTTAGCTAATGTTTGGCACAAATCGACAAAATGCACGCTTGTTTTAGATTTTTAATTGAAATGTGACGTCATCMATTACGTAGGCATGATGACGTTATTGGTATATGTATGAGCTTAACACATAAGAAAAACCGCTTGGATATTTTAATATTTTCCATATAGCAACCATGGCTGGTAAATAGGAAAGACACCCCTCATAAAAGTTTTTTGACAAAAAGTGAGTACCATAATCAGTCTTGGACTATTATTGTCAAAGAACAAGAATCGTGCACCCTTGCTCCCTAAGACTGTATTAATCAATCCATATGGATTTTTTAATTTGCTTATTTCACTACGACGTCACATCACAACAATCTAATGTTTAAACGCAAAGGATCATGGTCGTCGGAGGGGGTCAAATCAACGCAAATTCACCGAAAATTGTTCTCAAATCTGTATCAATCCACGAAGAGAAGTAGAATAGCCAGCAAACGCTCAGAATATTTTCAAGTACATATTAACACATTATATCTGAAAACCAGGCCATTTTAGATTAAACTGTTTCACTAGGAGCACATTTTGATGTCGAATGTTCTATTGGATTTGGCGATTCTATCCCCCACATAAACAAGCAGTGACGTCATAGTGAAATAGGGCAATTCATTCACGAGCCACGCCCACCTGACAGACACGAAACTATACTTGTTTGTCGCCGCTAGTTGAAATTGGAGTTTATTTTTCATAATTCATTAACGGAAGATTGAAACGATCAAAAATCCAATAACGAACTGAGTAATGCATTCCTAGGGGGCACGCTTCTTATCCTATTTGACTGTCATTTGTTGCGCGGGCAAAACGTTTTGATAGAAACGAATATACTTTTAAAATAACGAGAAAAAAGCTTGAAATTCAGTTGCTGAGTCTGCCGTGGCGGACTAGCTTGACGATAACTCGAACCCTTYACCCCCCTCCCCAGCCCGTCCTTTAGACGCTGGATCAATATGAATATTTACGAAACTTTAGCACAATGAAAGTCGCAAATGAAACGCACCAGATAGACTAGATTATTTTACTATTGAAATACTTATGGGAAGCATAGGTAACGTAGCGGTGAGAGCGCTCGCCTYTCACCAATGCGACCTGGGTTCGATCTTCAAGTTGTTTCATTGTTGGCTCTCCTKTGCTTCGAAATCGACTTCAAAATYCTAATTCGATCTAGAAAGGATGAAAATTACTCTGTGTAATTCTAGTTACCGTTACCGTACTAAATATTGTGTAGTTTTTTTCGTACTGTTTATTGAATTAGTATGTTTGGACATGGGACGGTGATGGTTACGGCGGCACATCTCGTACTGATCGAGCACCAAACGTAATACTCACATGGCTTCTCTGGGCGAAGATATCTCTTCCTGCCCGCATGAAATCTGCTGCGTCGAAACATGGTTCAAACTCGGTCGTAACATATTTCCCCTGATTTGCTAATTCAGCTCTTTCTTCAACACTTCTCATATTATACTCCTGGAATATTTAATTAACGATAATGACCATGGCAATAATGTTAGTATGATTTTAGACTTGAATATCGAGTTTTGCACGCTGTGAATATATAGTGTTTATGAGACGATAATCACTGCTCGAGGGTTGTATGAAGCAATGCTGAATGAAACATTTTTTGTCCTACAATGCGCGCGCTATGCCTTAGACCTGATGATATGATATCTCAAACATATTACGCCAAGCAACTGGAACCGTTAGGTCTAAGGCATAGCGCGCGGTTTCTGACGCGGGTTCAAGCTTACTCATATTTTGTACAGCGGTAAATAATATAACAATAGAAGGTAAGTGCCCCCCTCTCCCCTCCCTCTACCCCCTGTGTCCTGGGCTGTATTTATGAACTCAAGTATCACTGAAATCTAACTTAACCCACAGTTAGTTCCTTGCGCAACGCGTTTATTACCAGTCTTCCTCTTACCAAATCATAAAGGTCATCACTCATCTGCGGCTTAGGGGCTGTAGTCCATTTTGCTCCCTTTCTAAAGTATTCCTTGATGAGGGGTCTGTAGGCACGATACTCGAAGAATCTACTGCGCCACGCCATGGGACTCTCGAT